GGGGGGGGGGGGCAGGTGGCTCGTGCGAGACTCGGACACGCGAAGGGCACGCGTCGGACCGAGGTTAGACCAGCGCTTCGGACTCCAGGATCAGCAACACGCGTCGGCTGCTGCGCGGATGACTCATCGACGTCGGACACGCGGCAAAATCCGGCGAGGGTGACGTGGCCAATCCGGATAAGGCTTATCCATGCGAGATTCCTCGGAATTTGTGGCAAAATCTTATAAAACCCATAACTTTCGCATACGAGCTCCGTTTTTGACGTTCTTTATATGCACGCGTAGGGAAAATTATGCTCTACAACTTTCATTTAGACTTCGTCAACTAATTTTGACTTTATTTTTAATATTATTATTTTTAACAGACCGGGACAGGAAAATCCGTTAAAAATTCATAACTTTTTATCCGATGTCCGTTTTCGTCTGTCTTTTTACCGTTGTACTACTATTCACAAGACCTTCAATTCTCGTTTAGATTGTGTCGGCTAAAAATCACTCGATCTAAAATTCGAGTTTTTAGCTGTCTACTGCTAAGCTGAAACTTAGAAAAATCATAACTTCCTCATACGAAGTCAGATTTGGGCGTTCTTTTTACGCATACTCTCGGTTTAACGAACACTACGACTTTTATTTAGATCACCAAAGCTAAAAAGTAGTTTATCAAAAACTCACTTTTTACGTCATTCGGCGCCGCGCCGGTTTTGTCGCGGAACTTCGACATGTCATAACTTCTTCGTTATAACTCGGATTTCGATGAGGTTTTCGCCTAAATGTTTCTAACAAGATTCTTTACAACTTTATCCTTAGATATCGGCTTTATTTAATATTTATTTTCGACGCTTATTTTTATTCTTAATTCATTAATCATAATAATTAAGCAGATAAGCACATAATATTCACATAATTCCTCTTTATTACTTCAAAATAAGTTACAAAGGTTAACCTAGACTATTACGTCAGTATTAATGCCTAGCCTAGAAACACGGGCGTTACATATAGTTGTACAGAAGAGGGATAAACCTAACAACATAAATATACATGGGAACGGATAAGGAGCTTTGACTAAGACTAAAACTGATCTTTATCAACAATAAATGAGTCACGTGAATCACATTTATTACAAACCAACCTTTGATAAGGATTGTCCTCGACTCTTATTAATTGTCATTGCAAAACATACAACTAATGGAATTGTCTTCCTTGGAATTTGAATGGACTTTTTTTTTTCAAAAGGACTTAAAGACATTCTTGGAATAAAATTTGGTTTCCAATATTACTTCCATATATAATAATTGTCTTGATAATATGTTTGCCCAAAGATATCAATTTTGCAGTATAATTTCATTACATAATCCATTTTCTGATCAATGTTTCTCAGTAACATAATTGGAACACCGACTTTTAAAAGTAGCTTATGATTTGGAAAAACTGATACTTTAAAACCATTTAAAACATCGGGTGAGTACAATTTTACATGAAATTGATCATGAACAAACTTAGATTGACGGAGACTATCTTAACTTATATATTCTCTTTCAACTCCTGGAAAAAATGATAGAAAACGATTGTTTGTATCTTAGACAACTTATTCTTTGGGGCAAGTATTGCTCTTTCTTGAAAGTAACATGTAATTTTGAAGTTATGGAGAATCGAAGGAAATACAAACTATATTAATGAACCTATATGATCACATGGATCGTTAACGAGAGTATCCTCCAAAATATTAATAATCTCTTTGACATCATTCGAACCACCAAGTTTCCTTTCTCCTATATCCAAAATCCAGTTTGCAAAATCTCTTGTTTGTTGAGTAGCAGATGGATCACATCCAACAGTTAGCCTCATGGTTTTTTTTGTTAAATTATGAACTTTGCATTGTTGCCATAAATACAAAGAGCTAAAAGAAGCATTAACGATGTTTTATATACTACCACTCGGAATAACATGTAGATTTTGTATGTTTCCATAAATACAAATGATAATGTAATAATACTTAGCAATGTGAGATCCAATATGTGTATAAAAAGGAGACTTCGATATTCGATATTTATCCTCCATGTATTCATTCAATCAATTCTCCTCCAATTTTAACCTTGGTAGTTTTAGGCTATGTTTGGTGTACTAGCTAAAAAGTTAGTTGATTGTCTATAAGATAGTTGATAAAAAAATATTGTTTGGTAAAAACTAGTTGATAAGCTAACTGGAAGATATAAAGTGAATTTAGAATAATGAGTTTTCTATAATTAATTAAGGGTATATTTGGAATATTTTAAAAAAGCTCCTGAAAATCTAGTCTAAGTATCTTTTTAAAAAGCTAGCTTATAAGGTACTATTGTGTTTGCCAAAGATGACAACTTAAAGAATATCGAAAAATAAGCTAGCTTATAAGCTAGTTGTGGTATGCCAAACACATCCTTAGTATTAAGGATATATATATATAT